GTTTGAGGTGTGGAATGGACTGAAGTCCAATCAGCTTCCATATGCAAAAGACCAGGTTGTCGCAGCAGTTGTGGTGTGGGCGGGACCCGGGCTTTGCCTTCTGATTGGTGGTGATATATGCTGAGGAGCAGTGCCATCAGCCATACACTAAGGGAGTGCATTTTAGAATTAGAACTTTGGCACCCACTATTCAATTATATATAAGGAGAGATATCCAACTTGTAGCCACTAATATTTCCTAGCAATTTTTGAGGAGAACCAGGGAGAATTAGCTGCTCGAGAGAAAAGCCATCTCTGGCTGCAGGGAGGGCAACAGAGGCCTTCGGGCTTCCACCTAAGCGTTGCCGAGCTGTGTTTTGTTTCATATCGCTCAACTTTTATAAATCTGTGTTCATTCACTCTGGAGCAGGTCCTTTGACATTCAGTGGGACGCAGGGCTGAGCGACGCGTTTCCCCTATCACATACCATGCGCACGACAGTTGCGCGTTCCCTGTGGGAGCCCATTTTAGAAGTGCCTCAAGGGTCCGATCCTGGTTGGGAGTCGGGATCGCGGCACAGGGGGAGGGGGAGGCTCCTGCTTCCCCCTCCCCGTGCTGTCTCCCCCAACCAGGATTGGACCCCTATGGTGCTTCTAAAGGGAACTGGAGCTGTCGTATGGACGCGAGTTCCCTGTGGTGATCACGTACTTGATGTAACGTGCCACATGGATCTTAATCTAGCCAAGGGCACACAGGTTCGGAGCCTGAATCTTGCACTGGGAGGGGCTTCCCTTAATTACAGCCTCGAACTGGCTCTCCTGATCCTTTTCTCTTTGTTCTGTTGCTTGCGCAGCCCGAACCGCACCCTCCCCAGGAGCGTGTCCAGCTTCGAGGGCCGGAGTGTCCCAGCTACGCCAGTGCTGGCGAGAAATGCTTGCAGTGGGACCCACCAGTTCAGGTAGGAGGGCACTGTTGGGGCACGCCCCGCCAAAAGGAGGTTTGCTCTTCCGCTCTGCAGCTGGGGATGAAAGCTACTCTGGAGGCACAGAGGGTTCGACCCTGGAGAGCGGCTGCCAGTCTGACAAGACTGAATTTAATGGGCCGAGGGTCTCAGTCAGTATAAGGCAGCTTCTTTTGTATCCCTGTGTTTTTTTTAATCCATTAACTACCCCACACCTGCAATTAGAAAATGACCAGGTAAGAAATGTTCCTGCCCAGACCCCACCTTGAACGCTCACTTTCTAGTTGCCCGGAAGCAGGACCATTTGGCTTTTTGGCTATGAAAAGGGGGGGATGCCCTAGGACCAGTCTGAAACACTAGGATCTTTTTTTTAACACCCCAGGATTCTACCGTGTCATTTGACTGCACGTGTGGATCGGGACAGGCTTGGATCCAACAGGTAGTAGTTAGACTAGGGTCTTCAACCTGGTGCCCGCGGGCGCCATGGTGCCCGCTGATGCCTTTCCTGGCACCCGCCAAATGTATTTAGAAAGTGGGCAGGGCAAGAGGGGGGGCTTTTTCCCAGCAAGGCTTCTGATTGGTTGTTGGAAATTGGATTGATTCAATGTAGCGCTTGCCCCAGGAACAGTATTTCAAGGGGCAAACAAGAAGGGAGAGGAGAGAGAGTTGGTTCCGCTGGCAGAAATCCTTTCGAGGGCAAAAATCCTTCCACCCAAGGAGACCATCTTGCTCTGGAGACAGCCTTCCTGAGCTAAGACCAAAAAAACGTGTGAGCCGGAGGCTAAAAAACTGTGAGCTCGCTCACACTAACCCAGCTTAGAGGGAACGCTGTTCTGCCACCATGTCACAAGCAAAAAAATCTACTTTGTGAGCCAGTGGCATTAAAGCTGTGAGCGAGCGATTTGGCTACTGCATAAATTGGTTTGCTCTGGAGCCCTCCCTTCCTGAGCTAAGACAGAAAGGTGTGAGGTGGAGGCTAAAAAACTGTGAGGTAGCTCACACTAACTCAGCTTAGAGGGAACCCTAGTCACAAGCACCTTCACTGTGTGACCAAAGGTCAGCTGGGCATGTGCAAAAGAAACGTATTTTTGAAAATATGTCCGTTTTAAAAGGCATCCTCGTAACTAGATCTTCTGCCTGAAACGTTGAACAGTTAGCATTGGGGTTATGATTAATGTCACTTCCTGACATTTGGGGGGGTTGGCTCCGCCTCCTGCGGCAGCCATTTTGGGGATGCGCCCACCGATCATCTGTCAGAAATCCATAGGCGCCCGCAGGCTCCGAAAGAGCAGTCAGAGAGAGAATAAAAGCAACAGCTGTAGTGATAAACTGCCACCAGAACGACGTTATTTTAATCCTGCAGAGCCAGTCGAATCAGATCTCCAGTGGCCAGTCAGATCTCCTTAGGTGCCAGAAAAGGTGTCGGCAGGCTCAGCATGCCCCGGGGCACCACATTGGGGACTCCAGGCTAACGGTTCTTTTGTGGCACACAGCTTGGGAACGATGAGCCTTAATTCCTCCTCCTCCTGAGCCCCCAGCGCTCCCCCCCCGCCAGTGGTCAGGCAGCCACGATTCCCAGCTGGGCCCTCCAAGCCGCGACACCAGCGCCGACCGGGCCTCCATTTTCGCCGCCCGGACCCGCCGCAGCAACAGCTCAGAGGCCTTGATAGAACGAGCCCCTTCGGAGGACCCTCTCTTGCCCTCCGCCCCACCTTTCAAGAGCACAGAAGCCCTGACCCCTTCCATCTCGGGCCGGAATCCCCGCCCGCCCTATAGCGATCTCCTTTTGGACTACTACCTGGAACGCAGGTGCTGGGGGGGCGGAGAGCACCTGTCCCGCCGGGACGGGCCTCCCCAGACGGAGTGGGCGGCCTTCCCGGAGAGCCCTTCGCAGCGCCGGGCCCGCCCGGCGGCCCGCACCAAGTCCTGTGGCCCGCTGCTGCCCCCCCAGTCCCGGGAGGTTGGCTACGGCCCCCCGTTGCCCCCTCACCGTAACTTCCACAAAGCCCTAGCCCTGGAGGGACTCAGGGACTGGTACTTGCGCAACGCCGGAGTCGGCCAGCGGGGGGCACCGGAGAGACGGGGGCCGGCCCAGTCCGTCCATCAGCTGCGCAGTTACTGTGAACCGGTGCCGCCCAACCCGGAGATGGGCTACTACGGGGGGCCCGGAGGGCTCCCCCACTCTCTGAGCTACGCCGGGCAGCCGCTCTATGGCAGGTATGGGGGCTGCTTCCATCCCCTGCCCCGATAATCACATCTTCCCCCACACTCGCTTGTCGAGCTCACTCTCTCTTACCCTTTTTGAGGGCCGGTTTGGTGTGGTGGTTAGGAGCGTGGAGTGTAATCTGGGAGAGCCAGGTTTGATTCCCCACCCCTCCACATGCAGCTGCTGGTGTGACCTTGGGTCAGTCACAAGTTCTCCCAGAGCTGTTCTCTCAAGAGCAGTCCTCGAGAGAGCTCTCTCAGCTCCACCTACCTCACAGGGTGTCTGTTGTGGGGAGGGGAAGGGAGAGGAGTTTGTAAGCTGCTCTGAGACTCCTTCAGGTAGTGAAGGGCAGGTTATAAATCCAGTCTTTACTTCTTCTCTTTTCGCTGTTCCTACCTTGGCATTCTCTTGCTGCCGGCTCGAAACATCTCCTGCTCTGATTTCTCGGGGCTTCTTTCTTACTTAAAAGGGCATCTCTTGAGGTGGGTAGGGGGCACCCCGTGTAGCCGCCCTCCTTCAGCTAGTTGTGCTACAGCCTGAAGAACTATTGTTGTAATCCAAGGGGAGGGGGAGGCGTGGTGCTGTCGCAGGAAGGAAAGTATCCAGGAAAGGGACAGACCCTTGTCTAACTCAGGGATCCCCAACCCGGTGCTCACGGGCACCGAGGTGACCGCCAGCACCTCTCCTAGCGCCTGGCAAATATTTTTAGAAAGTGGGCGGGGACAGGTGAGGACCTTTGCCCAGTAGGGTTTCTTATTGGTCACTGGAGAGCTGACTGGTTGGGCAGATTGTAAGAAGATGTTGCCGTGGCAGCAGACACTGCCGCAGCACAAGCATCTTCACGGCATGACCGAAGGTAAGCTGCGTGTATGTTAAATATATATACTTAACATATATATATTAGTAAACTATATAGTTTTTTAAAGGCATCCTCTTAACCAGAGCTTCTGCCTGAAATGCTGAAGATATCCTATTTGGGGTTATGAATGGCCTCACTCCCTGCCGTTTTGAGGTTTGTCTCCGCCTCCTGCGGCAGCCATTTTGTGTCAGAATTCCAAAGGTGCCCAGAAAGGTTAGGAACCCCTGGTTTTTCTTCCTGACTCTAATTCATTCTCATTCTCTCTCTCTCTCTCTCTTTCCCCTTCGTTCCACTGGCTTGCCCTCCCCAGACCCTTTGGGGAACTGCTTTACGCGGACGACTCTGCCGGCCCCTATGCCCTGGACTCCACGGAGCACCCGCCCCCGGGGACCTTGGTCTGATGCCGGCTTTCTTTCCCCCAAGGGGAACTGCAGTCCTCTTTCCGTCGATCTCGCTGGTGCCTCTTCCTTTGTTTTCGTTTTTTTCCTCCCGTGTTCTACACCACGTGTTGTGTGGGACTCCCTGCTGGCAGGGTTTGTGCGTTTGTGTGTGTGTGTGTGTGAGAGAGAGAAAGCGTGGACTGTTGCATGTTATACTAGAGACACAACGGGGGGGCAGGAACGTGTCCCCGATTCCCGCACATTGTGATCCGTTCCCCCAAATATTGGGGCATGTGTCTGCTGTACCAACTCTGTCGCCGCCGCCCCTCCGAAGGGTTTGAATACTGTTGTAATGCTCTCTTGTGGTCACAAAGACGTTGTCGAGGCAATCTAAGACCTTGGGGTTTATAGCCGGGAAGGGGGGAGCTTGTGTGTTTTGTGTATGCGCGTACGTTGGGTCTCCCCCCCCCCCTTGTAGAACCTCAAATAGCACAGAGCGTCAACCTGCTAATGAACATCGGCCCTGGAGAAGATAAACCCCCTTGTGTTGCCGGAAGCGCATTGTCTCTGCCGATGCGCCTCCCCTGTGTTCTGGGCAGGTGAAAGACCAACTCCTGGAGAGTGATTTGGGAGAGAGCCCCCGTCCCCTGGGTTGCCAACCTCCAGGAGGGGACCTGGAGACCTCCCAGAATTGCAGCTGACCTCCAGACAACTAAATTCAGTTCCCCCGGAGGAAAAGGCAGCTATGGGGGGGAGTGAACTCATCCCTGCTGAGTTCCCTCCCCAAGCTCCACACCCAAATCTCCAGAAATTTCCCAGCCTGGAGTTGGGAACCCCAGTCCCCACCTTTCCCTGTCGGCTGAGTTCTGTCTCAGTTCAATTCTTAGCAGGCAGTGTTGGGGCAAGACGTGCCATAAGGCCCCTTTATGTAGGGCATGGTTCCGTAGAGAGCCAGTTTGGCGTCGTGGTTAAGAGCGGCGGACTCTGACCTGCAGAACCGGGCTCGATTCCCCACTGCCCCACTTGGAAGCGGCTGGGTGACCTGAGGCCAGTCACAGCGCTCTCAGCTTAAAAATAAGCATAGCTTGCCACCTAGTGGTGCCCAAAAAAAGAGCTACAGCTTCGGCAGGCAAACAATCCCTCCCCCCCCTCCCCAGATTTCCTGGCTATTCCACACACAACGCCATAGGATAATTTCATTTTGTAGGGCAGCTGCCCTCATCCCAACGGCTCTGGGGAACCGCTGGCAGCTATCACAGCAAAGGTGCGGAAGGCGGGCTTTGCACACGAGGGTACATATGTGCTTGAAACACCTCTGCACACGAGATCTTGGGGAGGGGGGCGTGGGTGAGGTCTCCGTGATATAAGATCTGTCAGAATAATGCAGGTGTTTACACGGCAGTGTGCCAAGCTGCCCTTTCAACTCCTGAAAGCACAGTTCTAAAACCCTTCGCACTTTCCCAGACTGTTTCCCCTCCGCTAACCCTCCTCTCTCTCATACCTCATAATTTTATAAAAGCGCGTCCTTTAAAAAACAACAACAGGAAAAAGCATTACAGAAATGTGATTCCTCCCCCCCTCCCCCTAACAATTGCACAAGAAGAAGAGTCACTTTGTTTGAACTTTGTTTTTATCCCTTTGAATCCAGATTGAGGGGTGTGTGTCTGGGGGAAATAGGAGAGGAGAAAACACTCGGTCCCGGCTCCCCCCCACCCCGTGCCCGTATGCAAAGAAAACGACATCCTTCCCAGAGGCTTGTGTGTCTTTTTAATCTACGTTGATGTACAGATTGTATATGGGGGGGTCTGAATGTATAACTGAGCACTGTGCTTACGGGAAAGGGTTTCTATAATAAAGATTGTTAAAGTGAATCAGGCTCTGAGGTCTGGACTTCATGGGCTGTCGACAAGGACTGCGAACGTAAAGGTTTGGGTTCCTCCATTACCCCCTCCTCTGTTATCCTTCCTGCCTGGGCCCTGACCTAAAAAGGCCTGTTGCCGGAGAGCTCGTAGAATCACAAGAGTTGGAAGGGGCCCTACAAGGCCATCTAGTCCAACCCCCTGCTCGATGCAGGATCAGCCTAGAGCATCCCTGGCAAGTGTTCGTCCAGCGGCCAGCCCATGCTTAAAGGCTGCCGGGGGGGGGGGAGCTCACCACCTTCCGAGGCAGCCGATTCCACCGCTGAACAACTCTCAACTGTCAAAAGGTTTTCCCTAAAATACAGCCGGTCCCTTCCCGCCCTTAATTTAAACCCATTATTGCGAGCCTTCACCCAAAGAGTGATTAACGCATGGAATTCACTGCCACAGGAGGTGGTGGCAGCTACAAGCATGGACGGCTTCAAGGGGGAATTAGATAAACACGAGAAGGAGAACCCGCGATACTCGCGGGGGGGAGCTCCACGTGGATGAGAAGGAAGCAGCCGCACGTGAGCCTTTGTCCCCCACACCAACGGCGAGACCCGCACAGCTCCCAGCCGCCAGGCCTGCCAAGCCTTCTCCCCCCCACCCCTGGCACCGAGGCCTGAGCTCGGCCCACACAGCCTTCTCTTTCCCCTTCTCTCCCCCGCCCCCCGGCGGCAGCAGCGAGCCCTGAGCAGCTCACAGCCGCCGGCCCGCCAAGCTTTCTCCTGCCCCCGCC